TACATCAAGAAATATTTATGGTAGTATTCACTCTCAATAATTTAATGAAACATTGGAGGAAACCAAATTTAATTCAAGTAGTGGCCAGCAGATTGATGGATAAGTATTTTGACATCTGCTGCAGAGATGGATTTGGAATTATGATGTAAACTCAGTACATATCTACAGCAAATATAACAAGCAATTGGCTCTTTTAGTGGGAAAATAAAAGGGTAAATCACATCACTTTCAATTAGCAGACATTAAAATTCTCAAGAAATGATATTACAAGAACGAAATTTCATGAACATCGTCCAGAATTCTGTCTCAGAATAGTTTTCTCAGCCAGCATGGTGGCACAGTCAATGACTTAATTGCATGACATGATTGAGAATTTCATTTTTTGATTATTTTACATGAATTATTGTGACACAACCTTGTAACAAATCAGCAACTTGATCATTTGCAATATTTCTTGAACCATACCCCAATATTAAGAAAGCTTTCAAATTCCGATTGTGGCCTGCATGAAAGAAATATTTATCAGAATTCAAGGTCACACTTAAGAGTTAAGAGGATAAGAGTGTAAGTGTTAACTTACTTGTCTATTGGATGAATGTCGTTAGGGAACACAATAATTTTGGTCTCAACACCTTTCTCCTTTAATGCCCTTGCATACTACAAGATTGGAGTATCCATATCATCCATAATCATATCAGACCAACTTCTAAATAACAATAATAAAGGAAAAAGGTGGAAAGAGGGAGAATCCTTTGAAAACTTCCTCCCTTTTGTTAAACTTTTGTGTCAATGACAGCTATATGGTGTCAATCAGTAAAAACAATGCTCATCATTGTCCTTACAATAAAAAGGAAGAGTTATATTACCTGCAATCCATTGGACACTGGAACACGAAGATCGTGAGCACCTAAAAGGAACAGGGTCGGTGTTTTGACCTGCATAGATAATCAAAATAGTGACTTTACTGCTCGGATACGTTCTTCCCTTCTCTATTGCTCAAAATATCTTCCTATTATTTAGAAGGAAAGGAATATGAAGGTTCTTCTAAAGCATATGCTATGTTGTATGCTCATCAGCCAATCTTCCACAAATAATATAGATAGGGAATTTCATCATTTCCAGTTCTTTAAATATTTATGCATTCCTATTGATTTTGCATCAAACCATGCCATGCTACCCTTGGATGCTTTTGGTATCATGGGAGGGGATATCATGGCAGGAAATGTCATATTTACTCAACATACCTTTGAGAGGTGTGATATAGGAGACTTGCTGTAAAAGTGAGACAGGTGTTCAGCTAATGTTGCTTCTGTATACATACTTTTTCCTTTGCTTCCATAGGCTTCAACAAAACACCAATCAGGGATATCTGTGACACCAACCATGGACGCAAGATTACAAACAGGATTCCTCGCAACTGCAGCCACAAATTTATCTGGTGCCTGCTCAAAGTGGTAAATAGATTTCAATCCCAATAAGTTACTGTCTCTATGGGAGGAGATCAGCTGATATATAAAAACCAAAGATATTGCTTGCAAATGGTTATTATCTGCCATTAGAACACCTATAATATTACTCTCAAAGCAAGCTCTATACCTGCCCAATCAAGTGAGTAGTTAAAAAGCCACCATGAGAACCGCCAATAACGGCTATTTTAGATGAGCTCGCAAGTCCATTGTCAATAACATGATCTATGGCTGTGAGCACATCACTGACATCCTGGGCATTAGTCAAGGGATGAGGATATGGACTAACATAATGACAATTTGCTAGTTGATAACTTGGTATATAAATTAGGATAGAATTATAATACATACCTGGGAACCAACATTTCCTGGCAGAGATTGCAATGCTTCCTCACCAAATCCTAGTGAGCCTCTGTAATACGTTGGCATATTAAATGAAGCTTTACATAAATTAAGGTCATGCAGCTTTCCTTTGTTGATAAAATCATAACAGATGAAGTTTGAAGGGGGACTTCTTAAGCATATGTAAAGGCAAAAATCACCATGGACAAGGCAATGTTGTAATGGTGTCCCTAAACATCATTATGTATGTGGTGAACTAAGAGCAACTGGCATATCAACCTCACATTAATTGAATACTTGGACAGAAAATTGAAGTACTTTGTGAAAACAAAACTCATGAAACAGTGAGTTTGGTATTTCAGCAGAATTCATTTTGCAATTCCATGCGCCTTATGTTTTGTATTATTAAAAGTGTTAATTTAAATCCATGATTTTAATTCCATACCTTTGTGTTTGCAATGCATTAATTTTATGGAATTCCTTGAAAATTAATGTGTTTAGTATGATTACAAAAGTGTTGATTCTAATTCTAGAGTTCAATTCCATGATTTACTATGTCAATCAAATTATAACTCACACCCTTTCTCCATCAAAATACTAGTGACATTTATGGGAAAATGAAATTTGAAATTCAATTCTTCTCTTAATTAAAACCATGAAAATCCTATGCAAATGAGTTCTCTAAAGTGAATTAGTTTTAGAAATGAAATTTATTCTGCTTTAATTTTCATGCCAGACATACTCGATGAATATCAAAAAAGAATGGAGAAGGGAAGATAGCTTTAATCAACTTCTCAAAGATAACAGCAAAACAACAGATAGCAATCTTAATTAATTGCTTTAGCAAAAAGGAGAGAAGGTAAAGTTTCAATACCTATAATTTACAATTAATAGGCTGTAGCCAATTGAAGAGAGAAAAGCTGATGTTTTTGAAAAGCTTGACAATGAGACAGCATGTGGGCCTCCATGAATGATCACTATCAGTGGATCAGGTGCATCATTTTTCATAGAACTGGAAGACACAAATATAGCTTCAAACGGTTTGGCAGCTCCTGAGATCAAACAAATGAAGACCAGTCATTAGCTCAAAAAGCAATAGATGAACGCCAGCCATCAAGAGAACTACCACCCGTCTTCCTTAATAACATTTGCACCTGTTTTTATTTTATATGTATACATACATATATATATTCTACATTAACCAAGCATAAAATTATTGATAACATAAAAACAGTGATAAATTTATATTCATTTTTCCCTTGTGGCTTTCAATGTGGTGAGTTTGGAGAGGAAGCACATGAAAATCTGTTTGCAGAACTTACGTAAATTCTTCATCTTCATTATCACCACAAGCATCTCACTTGGCCACCATCTTGTTAAAGACATTTTGTTCTAGTCTCAGTTTTTACAGATTAGATCTATTCATGTCTAATGTCATTCCAAAACCAAATCAGCATATAATACCTTTTGTTAAGCAATCAGAAACGTCTCTGACTGGAATTTTCAGAATACTGAACTGACGAGAAGAAAGCAAAGATTTAACCTGAAGCACAAAATTTGCACTTAATAACCATGGGATTGGATATAATTATAATGCAGATAAAATGAGACAAAAGTAAACTAAATAAACCTTCTCAGAGCATTTGGATATGGGGCTTGACACATTTGACCAACTCCAGGTAGCTTTCTCAACAAGACAGCCATACTTGATTTCAGGAAGATCAACTGGGCTGCTACACACTTTAAATTAGGAAAAAAATTTTAAAAAATATATATTAACTTCCTTTTTTATTTTTATTTTTTTTTTACAGAGTAACTCAAGATTTTCTTTCAATCCAAAGAACAGATCTTAGTGTTACCAGCAATGACATTGTCTCCATCAAACATAAGAAGTTCCCATGAAAAATTTGAGTCAGAAGGACTGATGCGTAATATTTCCCCACTGCAATTTCATAATAGTCTCATAAGTTAGTCAAACAAACCAGACTATGAAGGCCTGTGCCCACAAAATGAAGATACAAAACTGCTAATAGTAGTCACCTTGACACATTGACAGAAAGTAATACTTGACAGCTATGCCAGATGGAAGAGAAAATCATAGTGTATCCATCTGAAAGCCATGGATTGCTAATAAAACTTGAATTGTAAAGCCCTGGGAACTGACCATCTTCAGGAGAATTCACAACAGGAATCTGCAAAGATTTTGTGGAATGAAATAAGTGATAAGTTCATCTGTTTAGCACACAATTAATAATTAAATCATGCCCAACCGAAGGCAGAGGAGGAAAGAAAGTGCATGCTTGTGCTCACATTCAGATCTGAAAAACAAATGCATGAAGTGCTCACCACATCAATGACTTTTAGAGATGAAGATATCTTTCCATCAGCTGGCCACTCAATTTTGTGAAGTGACTCAGTTGCACAATGTGCTCCAGAATCCACTGAGCTTTTTGCAGATATAAACACAAGGTACTTTCCATCCGGACTGAGGGAAAATGAAAAAGATTCCCATTCAGACATACAAAGGAACTTTTTCAACAATGTATGTAGCTTCATTTCACAAAGGTTAAATTTTTAAAGGAGCAGCACTAACTGATTATTAAGACATGATGGAATACTGATTTTTAGTTGGTAGAAGGATAATTCAAGGTAAATTGGGCAAACCTAATAGCCTCTTTAAATCTCAAAGCAACAAGTTTTCCAGAAATATTTTGCAGGTAAGAAAGAAATTGTAAAACTAAAATAAAATTAACATTAGCAACATGTACTCAAACAACAGAACAATAATAATATTTATGAGGTTGTAGGAATTTGAACAATTAGGTCATTAGGTGTCCTGACTTTACAGTGATGAACTTTATATCATAGTCTTGTTTTAAAGAGAAATTGATATAAAGTTTTGAACTTCAAATGCACAAGTGATATATATGTCAGACTGAAAGAAAAGAGAAGGAAAACGCTGAAAAATACTCCAAATACACTAGAGTAGATACCAAATGTTTTCTACAGGTTATTCCACAATCATTTTTTTT